ATCCGATGCCCATTCCGACTTGACGCGAATGAACGAGTGAATTAAAAGCGAAATCCAGGCATAGCCCGCGACTAGGCAAATAATCCTATGGCGGTATGGATCCAGCGAAATAATAAAGAAACAAAGATAGATGAAATTTTCTCTTATATAGAGAATTTATTTTAATTTATTCATTGATTATTTTTCAATTCGTGACATATTGAATGCACCTATCCTATTTCATTTTTCCTGTAATTCCAATAAGATTTCATTTTTCAATTTTCTTAAAAAATAAAATTTTTAGGAATTTAGGATTTATAAATGATTGATTGCTTATCACTTTAATAATTAACGAATCTCATGGATAATAATGAAAAGAAATTAACAAGATAGATTCGTTAATCCAGATTACTACTGGAGACGAGTGTTCTCTTTAATGAAGAGTTCGCGAACCTTCGTTTTGTTGAATGATTTTATCAGCTGTTAACATCTATTTAAATCAGTTTTATTGAGGGATCTATTCAACGAAATTGCATTTTTTTTGGCCTTTAATTAAAAAGGATCATTGTTATTAATAGCTATAATTCATAGGATTTGTTTAGTGATATTTATATAAATATTTTATTTAAAACCTGTAGGAGGAAAACAAATGATTCAATGAGAATAATTCAAACGATGTTTTATTCGATAGATTTTCGTATTAAATGATTAGCCTTGGCTCGATTGCAAATTACTTATTTACAAATAGAGCAACAAAATTTGTTTAAATAATTTTATGGAATTCCATCCACAATTTTTGCGAATATTTCGTTTTTTCTATTCCCATCTTTCCATCGTACTAATTTGCTTTAAACTAAAAATTTTCAAAATGTTCTATTTTTTTCCAATAATATTTCTTATTTATTTGGCACCATTGAATATTAGGTTGTTACCAGGGAATCACTTTGCGATAAAGGATTGATAGACGCAGCACCATCGGACCGAAATCGATCGAACCCATCCATGATGTGTATTATGATATTTACCGATACTAATTTAACAATACTTATCGTTTCTCGTTTATAAAACCCGCCTCCTTGACCAACCTGCTTTCTTTAAAATTTTAAAATTTTCTTAATTTGACTAATTAGCTTATCTCTAAAAAATTCCTAAAGGTTTAATTACCGTAGATTTAATGATGAAAAATGATTCTAAGAATTATCCACTATGATTTCGCTTACATAATTTTATTATATATGATATTATTATTTTATACAATACATAAAAAATTTTACTTAAAATTATTTAAGTCATCATCATTTACAATTTGAAAGTAGTTAAATAAAAACTCTCCGATTCATGTAAACAGCACTCTGGTTCTAATTTTGCAGGAAGAAATGGAAAAGCCAAAGCAGTTAATATACTGGGCTGGCCATCCGATAAGGACATTGTTTTTGTACAGACCCATGAAGCGCGCTTTTCCGGATAAGCGTGAACGAATTATAATGGATGCACTTGGTGGCGATTTTCTAATTCGAAAGAGGAAACCTTCGCGATTTCCTAAATCATTTTGACTGTTAATTGGCTTAATTGGTTGTAAAAAAAATTGATCTGTATCAAAGGAAGGGAAGGGATTTTTTTTCAAATTAATGATGATTTTAATCAAACGACAACATTCTGTCAATTATGAACTCGGAAAATTTATTTTCTGAAGCATATAAGTACCAAGAAAAACGATTCTTTTTATCCAATTAGTTGGAATTATAAGAATATTCAAAAATTTAATCGAAAAATTTACAGTCGACATAATGGAATATAAAGAAAATTTTTTCTCGAAATTATTTTTTGGAATAAATTTAAAATATTCATATTTCAATAAAATTTTTTGAGCAATTTGCATCTATCTTGCAACTATAAGAACTATAAGAAGGACCGATTCGATGTTCCTTCTGTATTTTATTAATTGAATAAAAAGTTTGAACTTTTGCTAATAAATAAATAAAATTATAAATTATAAAACTTTTTATTTCTTTTCGCCTTTTTTGCGAAATAAAATAAAATTTATCATGGAATTTTTAAAAAATGCAGGGAAATATTCTCGAAAAGCATCTAATGAAAAAAGGTCTTCAATTGTGTTTGTGATTTGTCCTCGCTGGCCATTCCGTTAATCACTAGCAATTGACGACCAATTTCACCTTGCAGTCGATTAAGAATTGGCTTCTTCAAAATAAAGTAAAATGAAATCCAAAAAGCGCTTTGATTTCAGCTTTTAATTTTAGAAAAATATACATTCGAAAATTTAAAGGAATAGTTTATATCTCGACTGAAATTAAGCATCACCGATTCGTTTTATTTACAAAATAAACCAATTATTAAAATCAAACTGCATTCGAAATACGCTCAATTGGTTGAAACTTACTTTAATTGCCTGAAATCAATTAAGTTAAAATATATAAAATAAATACTGCCTAATAAAATTTTATTGAGTAAATAAAATATCTAGAAATTTGCGCTTATTTTGACGATGATTCATGTATTTATAGTAAAAAAAATGGTTGAAACCTTCAACCCATGAAATATTTATTTCCTGAATATTATTGTCTAATCGCTGTTATGCTGAATAGTTGAATAGCATTTAGAGGTAACATTTCATGATAATATCAATACTGCCTGTAAAAAATAGATTGATAAAATTATTGATTGGAAGCAGTGAGATGCTTGCCTGCCATGCGTTAATTATAATCTTGGGTAATTAAACCAAATAGATTAAAAGGTAAAATAAAGGAAAAGAATAAAGGGGCAAAGGACACATTAAACGAATAAATATTTTGAATATTAATATTAAAATATTAATATTGGGACCCAATCGCTTGGGTCCCTTAATGGCGCCTAAAATGGCATAAGAAAGATATGGCATCTAAAAGAGGGAGAAGAATGATATGGCACTTTAAAGTTCAGAAAAGTTTATAAGTATACGACATATATTGTAAATTGTCCCTTATGTTTTATTGACATATAAAGTGCAATAACCAAAGAATCGATTAAGAAAGTTTTCATTGGCTGGTCGGGAACCGGTTTGAAATAATAAATTTGAAATAGTAGAAACATCGCATTTCGCAGCCATTGTCGAATTAATCTGTGCAGGAACATCTTTGAGCTTTTTCTATCGATTGGACAAATGCGATTTCCGGCAACACACTTACTATTAAAAATGATAAGTATTTTTACAAGAATCTGATAATGAGAAAATGATAGAACGAGGCGAACGAGCGAGTTATATTTTCCTATAGTTCTCTCGATTCATTTTTAGAATGTACTCGCAATTTTTTTATGTTATTTCCCATGATTCAGCCTACTCGTCCCTTCACTCAATTTCCATTTAAAATTGTACCATATGAGTCCTCAATATATGAGAAGCGATCATTGATAAATTAAGCAAGCCTTAACGTCTGCTAGTTGATGTTGGTAGGTGCATGACGCTCTGAAGAACTATCGTCCGATAGCGCCCTATACGTAGGGGCTGATTTGGGGCTAAGCAGCAAATAATTAACATATGTTGAGGCCTAAAGTTGTTAGCGAAAAAATGCTAGTGCTTTAGTGATCTTTCTGGGTTCAGTGCATTATATTTCTTCCTTACAAAGCACTAAATCACATTTAGTGTTGTTATTCATGTTTTAAGATGGAATTGTTGTTGTTTTGGTTGGGAAAGGGTCTGAGTTGTGATTTCGCCGCACTAAAAAATTTTTCTTCATATGGTGTATGCAGATTTTTCAAAAGGAACAAATTTACAATTATTTAAAGTCACATTTGCCCATCCACTAACATCGCAACCCAAGGAGCAAATTCGTCCGGAGTAAGGGATGTAAGGGACATAACTGCTATTAGAGCGAATATCAGGTGCAGCCTTGCAGGAAAACTAATCGAAATAATCGAAATTCGCAATCTGCGACACATTCAAATTTTATAGAATCCTCCAATCAGAACTCTCCCTTATCAGCCCTTATCAGATGGCTACCAGTCTTTTGCAGTGCTGCAATAAATAAGGAAAAGGCTATAGCATCCGTCAGTTGCTCGTATATATCTGATATGATATAATTTACTATCTAATTTATTATTTGAATGCGTATATTCAAAACTCAAATGACTTTCCGCTTAGATAAAATTTTCATTTTATGGCTTAAATTAAAATTTGCGCGCGGAATCACCCAACCGACGACCAATCGGCCGACCAAACCGATTCAAATTTGAATTCAGTTTTATTCCTCAAAGCCTACAAAATCGAAAAATTCGTGTTCGAAACGAACTGCTAAAACATTCCTAATTTTCAGTATCAACGACCAGCGATATATATTAAATTCAACTTTCCGGAGCAGCCGCGACCGAAATTTAGTGTCCTACTCGACGACAAATAATTCATAATTATTTTGGAAGTGGTCGTACAATTTTTTGGGGGTTTTTAGGGTTCGCGGTTGCTTCTGCGTTGTTGGTTTCTAAATTTGGCTTAGTGCTGAAATTCTCGAATTCGGTTTTGCTATAAATTTTTTAAAAAATTTTAGGTGAATTATTGGTGCAACTTTTTAAAATCGAATTAACATTTACTAGTTAAAATTTTTAATATTTTTTAAAATTATGAAATATCGAATTAAATGTGTTTTTATTACAAATAAAAATATTTGCTTATTAAGTGGATATTCTAAATATTTCCCTGGCAAATGGTTGTCCGACACCACAGATAACTATCGTCGCCCAATTAGACACCTGGCTCTGCCTATAATGACGGCCTCAGTCGCGCCTTTTCCACTTTTCTACTTTTTCCACTTAAATTTTCTAAATATTAATTAAATATTTCAAATTTTTTTAAAAATTGTTTGTCAAATAGTTAAATATCAAATTTTTAAATGCTTCCAGCAGAAAGAAATTATGGAATAGCGAAAAAATTAAATGGAATAACCTTTCATCTTAGATTTTTCCTTTTCATGTAGTAATTAATTGTTTTAGGATTTTTGGCTATAAAGTTGAGTGCATTCTAAGTTGAAAGAGCGATGCTGAAGGGGAAATGGTAAGTAAAAGTTGGAAATGTTTCTTGTTCGGGTGTCCCTATTCGGAAGATCGTTCGCTTTTTGGTTTTCATTCCTTTTGTTTTCATTTGCAACAATTTTCTCATTAAATAATCTCAAAACAACTCCGTGCTCATTCTGCTGTACAATTTTTTTCGAAAATCTTGTTTTTCGATTTTCTAAAGCTTAAATTTCATAAATTTTATTATGTGGTGTTTGAATTCATTTTTTATCAGTAAAATTTATGTTTCGAAAAATTAAAATTGTAAAGTTTAGGGAGGCTTTACAATTATTTTCAAGATAAATAATTGTGGTGATTTTTTCTTTCTCGGAAACTTGATTAATACCGATGAAAAATTTTCAGGAATGCAGCTACACATCCATTTCAACAGGTCCAATTTCACGTAATGTTGATTTTATTTAAAAAATGGTTTCATTTGAGATTTATTTGACGCATAGTTCATGTTGTTTGCTGCATCTCTTTAATTTGCTTTATTTTATTCAGTTTAATTAGTTCTTTCATGTTTTCACTTTTCACTTTCAGTTCAACTTGTTTATGATTTTTAAATCCAGTTTTTTTATAAATTCCAATTTTTATAAAGGCCGATCGAAATGAAAGGAATTTTTTCGAGAATTCAGCTGCAAATGGTACTGCTTTTTCGTTGGGTACTAATTTAGATCGTAATGGTGGCAGGCAAACTGATTTCAATCGAAGATTTGGTTAGGATTTATTTTTTTTTTTGTTTTGATTTTATCATATTTCTTTTGAGTGTAGAATTTCGTTCAAATATATTAGTGCAAATGCGACAGCTTGTAAGAGTTCTGTAATTTTTTCTCGTAGCCATAGAACTTATGAATAGGATTTAGATTTAGTAAAGTTGATAAAGTTGATATTTTGAGGTATTAATGAATGTTTCAGGAAATGAACAAAATCGACGTACCAAGGTGGTGAAAGACGAATGGGATGTTGATAATAATCATGACATAAAGCATGATCACAAAGACCATGATAAATTTAATCAAGATAGCAGTAAAACGAATCCGATTGATATGGCCCGTGCCATTTATAGAGATTTTGACGGATTCAAACGAGGTAGCGATAAATCAAATCCAGATGTTCGGAATTCTAATAAACGCCGAGAAAATAATACTTGGCAAAACAATCAAAAAACTCGCTTTTTTCGTAAGTTTATTTTACTTGTAAGGCGCATTTGGTTTTTGATTTCATAATATTTTGGTGTTATCTTATATATCTTATATTACCTTATATGATGAAGGGATCTAAGATTTATAGGAGCGTAAATTATAGGAGCTCAAAGCGTAAATTTTAGGAAATGATTCACTTTGTCAGCAAATGAAAAGTGATTGGAACCATAGCTTCAGCGAATTAAATATTGTTGATACGAATGAACGATCTTTGATGAATCGAGATAATTCTTTTAATACCCACAGGAACTTTATGGTTTATGGTAAGAAATAAACATGAAAGTTTTGTTTTTTTTTGTTCATTTCTATAGTTTTTATAACTTTTTTTTAAAAGCACTTACCATTACTGGTCACTCAGCTCACTTGATGGATCAGACAAATACGCCAGGAAGTCCCTTGGTGATAGAAATATAGGTGAATCGCAGAATTTTCTAGATTTTTTTTTTAGTATTTTCTATGAATTTTTCATTCTTTTTCTTGCAATTGTTATGTATGGGAAAAAAAAGTGCACGTCGTAGTAATTTATTCGATTTAAGTTAATTAAACAACTAAATGGAAATTTAAAGAAGTTTTCAATTTTTTAGGCCAAATAGTTGGCTAAAAAATTATAAAGTAACTTTTAATTAACATATTTTCATCATTAATTTAAATTATTATTTAAATTACATCATTAATTTAAAAAATTTTATTAAAGAAATAAATAAATATTAATGGTAAGTAGTGGTATTAATGGTATTTTTCATATGCAAGTATAGGCCTGTCCAAAAATCCGAGTGATGCTAGCGACTCACTTGTATTTCTATCCCCAAAGTGACATCCTGACATATTTTTCTAGTCCGACTAACAAGAAGAGCCAGTTTAACCAGTAATAATGAATGTTTAGAAGCGCTTTTAAGAATAACTATCAGGATTAGGCACCTCCGTTTAGTGACGAAAGCAGCTTCTCAGTATTAAGTGGATTTTTTACTAAGATAATTTTGATAAGTTTTGATAATTTCATTTCCTCTAGGTCGAACGGCGATAATTATTTAAGTAATGTGGCATACTGCCTTACCCATACTGTCTTCTTATTGAACTAGGCATACAGTAATTGCAATTTTTAATGAATTTTTAATTTTTAATGAAAACAAAAGTTATTGACTTTATTATTATTATTTTATTATTACATTATTTTTATTAATATTAAAATTTACCACTTGCATTTATAGATCGAAGTAATGGAGTACCATCGAATCTTTTGAGCCAGTTCAGTGGTAATTTTATTTGATATTCTTCTAGGTTCTTATAGGTACAGATTAATGTATTCAGAAGATACATATTTGCTGTTAGTGTGTATCTGTGTTGTTTATAAATGTGTGGGAAAGTAACATCCATATATCCTTCCCAGTCCTTCTTAAATAGTCTTTTTCCTTCCAAATACTCTTGCATTCCTAAGATATCGTAATTCGCCAGCGATATCCTTTCAGATTTCACGTAAACTCTTCAAGCTTTCCAAAACCGCCCTACTTCCATAAGAGAGGATTGTGAAGATTAAAGGTGGGATTATTTGATAACCATTATACCCATACCCATAGGGCATATTTCCATTCACAGGATGAGTTTTCATTAATGGATTTCTGAAGAAATACAAGTTCACATCTTGCAGGTGTGGATTCTGACGAACGAAACGAAAGGAACGTCTGTTATTTCCTCCATTTGTGTTTTTCTTTTATTTATCATATATTTCTCACATATTTTTCATTAATTCATTTTTTTGTAGACTTATCGCGGTAATTTTACGAATTATACCAAGCGGTCTCGTGACATTAATAGAAGGGAATATTTCCACCAGAATCATTTTTTCGATCATTTGCAAGGTATAGGTAGAATGGGAATACTGTTATATTTTTTTGCTGAAAATTGTTTTCACAATTGTTTTTTGGTCTTAATGAGTAGAGATCTCATTTTATATTTAGTTATGTTTATGGTTGTCCTTCTAGGACCTCGAAAAATCAGACTTGCAACACATATACCAAATGACAGGCCACTCACAGAAATTTACAATGAGGATGAAAAGAATGCCCAAAATTTCGTAAATTGTTTTTTACCTATTTTTAACCAGTTTTTTAAAATTTATTTTAGTCAGAAATCAGAAATCTGCAGATCTTTTTCAGAAGATTAATTTTTACTTAATTTAGGTTGATAATATCGACCTTAGTATTACTGTTGAAGGGGTAACAGGTGATGAACATCACGCAGTTTCGTAAGTATTCATTATTTAAAATTTTTAATACCAATACTTATAAGCAGCCTTCTTATTTCTTTATTTAACAGTAGTTGCATTTTTATTTAATAACTGCTAAGCTAAGCTTATTTACAAATTGTACTATATAATGCTTCATTTATTTTTTTGATTTTATTTATCAGTAAATTTTGCGAAAGAAAAAATTCAGATTTTCCAATTTCATTTAGAAACTGGGATCAGTCAGGATTTGAACTGTCATTACTGAAGAATATCAAGAAATGTCATTATTTTTCGCCTAGACCAATACAATCGGCTGTTATACCTTTAATACGAAATGGTACATATTCTTAATGTGTTTGGGAGAATGAAGAATAATGCTCCAAATACATTATTAGAATGTTGCTTACTAATTAATTTGTACATATGGAAAATTAGTTAATCCATGATGAAATAATGGAAATCTAGTGTGGATAATATGAATTTAATTGGTTAAGAATCAGTATGAGAACTGGAAGCTTTCACCGTAGAAATAAACAAAAACTTTTTATATATGGAAAGTGCGATTAAACATTCTTTAAGAGAATTAGGAAAAAGTAAAAAAAAATTTACGGAGTGATGGAGATAAATTTATCAAATGAGAGAAGAATAAGTTGCTTTAGGTAATAATTGTGATTTTATGTTGCAGTATATAAAATATATAGGTTTTGATATACTGGGACACGCTGAAACAGGTAGTGGTAAAACTGCGGCGTTCATATTGCCATTGGTTGACAAAATCTTAAAAAATTTCGTGAATTTCGGTAAATCTACAAATAATGGATATCGTCATCCTATAGCACTAATTATTGCACCGACTCGTGAGCTGGTTTTACAGCTGTATGATCAAGCACGGAAATTTGTGGAAGGTATTCATTTGTATTAATTTATCAAACATCGTTTTTTCAGTTCTTATATTTCTTGAAATAAGATATTTGTTAAAATTCGGTCAAATTTTCAGATACTGAAGTATCAGTTGCCAAACTTTATGGGCAGATTAAAGTAAGCGAAAGTTTGGCAGAAATTGATCGTGGTTGCGATTTGCTTTTTTGTACCATTGGGCGATTAGAAGACTTTATTAATAGAGGATATGTAAGTTTAAACTCCTAATATGAAATTCTTATGTAAAAATAAAAACCGTCTAACAACATTCTTATTTTTCTTTTCTTAATATATGCAGAATAGAAATATTCTCATTTTAGGTAAAACTTGGTGGTGTGAAGTATTTCGTTTTGGATGAAGGTGACCAAATGCTTGCTAACCAACGTTTTTTGAATTTCATGATGTATCTTATAGAAAAAACTGATTTTCCTAAGGTAATTAATTTCATAAACAGAAAAAAATTGCCCAAGCCTTTATTCTCTACATTCTAAATTTTGATGATTGAAAGGGATTAATTCATTATTTAATCGTTGAACAAAGGTAAAACTGCATACATTTATGTTCATAATTGTGGACAAGTGGTTCTTTTCAAATCTTTATTAAGGTAAATTTTCAGAAGGATGAGCGTCAGAGTCTTCTATTTAGTGCAACCATCTCATCAGGAGTTCAGCAGCTGGCACGATTTGTTTTAAAAGAAAATTGTGTTTTTGTATCGAACGGTAAAGTGACCGCTCCTAATGTTCGGGTTGAACAAAATTTTATAGAGGTTTAATTTTTTAAAATTTTATTTAGACTTGATAAATTTTTTTATTTTTTACTCTACTTTACAATTGGAGATAAAAACATCTTTCTTTTATTTTTTAAAAGTATCGGAAATATCGGGTCATTTAGAAACGAATTTTTAAAAATTAGATCATATATGTTAAAGGTCAAAGAAAACAAAATCGACGATCTTATATCACTACTAGTACAAGAAAAAAACATTAGTCGTACTTTGGTATTTGTTCGACTGAAGCAGAAGACGGATGCTATTGCAATATACTTATCTAATAAAGGAATTCAAGCAACGAGTATACATGGGTATTATTCTTTTTTTTAATTTTTTTTTTAATATTTTGTCTTATTCTCATAAATTTCACTAACTTCTATTTTTTTCTGTTAACTGCCATATATGGGAAATTTGTTTTCAGTGATCGCGATCAAAGTCAAAGAGAATTGTCTCTTAGAAATTTTCGTGATGGAACGGCTAAAGTCCTTGTTGCGACTGATGTTTGCGCCAGAGGGCTTGATATCTATGGTTTGAAACATGTTCGTTTCTTTCTAAAATAGAAGTTTTTAGTGGATTTTTCCTTTTTTAAAAGGAATTTAATGATTGATTGCTTAATTTTTTAAATGAAATTTTCATTCACTGTCAAAATTTGAAATTTATCGACTTTAATATGTTCTGGGACTTCTCCATCCAGATAAGTAAACAAGTATTAACCAATCAATCAGATATCGTGGTTGAAATCAATACTGTGATATATATAGCAGTACGTAGACAAGTAACAGCGCTGGGAAGAGGAATTTAGGGAAATACCAAGGGCTGAAAGGGGAACTAGAGAAGAAAAGTAAAGGCCAAAGTAATCATAGCGATGATTGGAATACTTGGAACTGTGGCCCCAAAATTGGAAAAGTGGCTCCAACAGATTCCAGGAAAAACAGAGGTCTCTATTCAGAAAAATGCGCTACTAGGAACAACTAAGATATTGCGCAAATCTCTCTCAATTTCTCAAACCTCTGGTAGAGGATCCTAGGTTGAGGATGATCTTTAACACCCACAGGAAATTCTTTATTTATTTGAATGCATAGTTTTTCCAATTACCGTAAATTTTATAATAATTCATTTTTTGTTGCGTAATTGTTATTGTTTGTAGTTAATGAGATTACCGTAAATTATGTTAATGAGCCTTGGATAATACGAATTGAGTGCTTTTAATATCTGTTTATTCAGGTTATCAATCTCGATTTGCCGGCAGACAAATTAACCTATATTCATCGTATTGGACGAACAGGTCGTTTAACTAAAGGCAAAGCCACTTCGTTTGTTGATCCACGAAATCCTTATGACAGGGCATTTGCGAAGGATCTTGTTGAGGTTTGTCGAAATTTTGCATTGCATTCAGTTGGTACATTTGCAGTTGTTTGTGGAAATTTTTTGATCTCTGTTATGAATCACTTTTTTCCAGGTTGTTCGTGAGGCACAGCAAGAAGTCCCAAAATTTCTTTTAAATTTAGCTGAAGGTTGTTATGGACTAGAAAATGATGATCAGAAACGAGCCGATTTTGCATCCATTGATATGAATGATAAGAGTACATTGAAGGGTTAGCTGTTGTGAAATTTAAATTTTTGTGGATTGTTTTGCGCTGATTGTTTTAAAATTTTAAAAAGTAATTTTAAATATATTTTAAGTAAATAAATAAGAAGTGATTAAATAACAATAAAAGTAAGCGAAATTGCCTCGGCTTATTCTGAAGTTGATGGTTTGCAGATCGATTCGTTTCTGAATCTTCTACCATCATATCGCATTTTTTATCACGCCCTGCATCACCTCCCAGTATGGCTTTCAATGATTCATGGGATGGTTAGATGGTGCTTTTGGTGACTGCATTATTTTCTCTTAATATATTAGCGTATGAGAATTAGATATATTTCATATATGCGGTTCTTTATTTCCTTTCTGATTTATTTTTTTGTTGGCCACGATGTTTAATTAAAACAAAATCAAATACAGAAATAGTATTCTTATGAAAGGAAATTATTTATATAGAAAAACTTGTAACATTTTACCACTATTAAATAAAATGTATATTATTTTTACTGCTTCTTTTATCAGGTGAAGCAAAATTTATTGAGAACTTCAATAGCATCTCTTTTTGCTTTGATTTTGGCATTTTATATTATCATATCATATATGATTATTTTTTCTTCATTGCAAATATAAATCTCACTTTTCATTTTAAAGATTTTTTCATTTTGTCATCTTAAAAGCCAAATAGTATATTCATTGCAATATTTTATAAAATTGCCATATGTATCTGTAAATTTAAAGATCTCATGGTAAACGTGAAACCATTCATTAAATGGAAAACACTTTCAGTCATTTTTTATATTTTTTTATATAGAAAAATTGTTTCGAAAACTTTTCCTTGAACTGCTGAGTTTTTGATTTTTTTGATTTTGATTGATTTTTTTTTTAATTTTTTTGTTTTCATACGCTGGTGAAATTTTTGATGGTTAGATTTTTGAATAAAATTTATTTTTAATTTTCTTCGTAGGTGCCTATGCAGAGCGATCAGCTGTTATACGGCAATTTTTTTTTGTTGAAATTTAAAGTAAATTTGGTTTTGGTTTATTCTTGCTTGCTAGTGAAAAGGGTCACTCTAAGCGATGAGTTGTTCAGATATTCTCTTCTTTCTATAATTTGCGATTATTAAGTGATTAATTTTAATATTGTATTCTAATTATATTGAAGTATTATATAGTTTAATTACATAACATAATTTTACATAATTTTTTAATGTTTTAACATCCATTGTCGGTCAAAATCTTTGGCTTAAAATATTCTCGTCCGAATGAGGAGTAACTCAAAGAGGCACGCCACTTGAAAATGTACAGATGTCGATAGAGGGTTTATAAGAGCGTTTTTTGAATTTTGTTTTTTCTAGTTTGGTATTTTTCCGGGTGATGCTGCCTACTCACCTGTATTTCTATCGCCAAGGAACTTCCTCGCGTATTTGTGCAGTGCGACAAGCCAGCGGAAGGAGTTCAACTATTAATGGTGAGGACTCTTAAAAAAAATTTTTTTTCTATTTTATTATTTTTATTGTTTTCTTTATTCCTCGTCGTTCCTTATCATTATGAAAAAGGATTGGTTGAAGCGATCGCTGTTTCGTTCGGTGTCCTTCTATGATCTCCATGTGATTCGGTGAAAAAAATTCCTAACAGACAAAATTAACAGCAAATTCAAGAATAATTAAATAATTTATAATGCTCAAATAATGTTAATAGTTAACTTTCTATTGACTTAGCTTCTTAATTTATCGTTTCTATCCAAAAAAATCGTTTCTTTATAAACTTTTTCTCTGGATTTATTGGATGAATAGAAAAAATTTCTCGTAGTTTTGCGCTTTAATTGCAATTTTTTATATTTCTTTTTTATATATTTTGCAAGGCGAATAAATCTTTCATCTTTTAAGCAGTCGAATTTTTGCAAAAATTTGTTTTTTTAATTTTTTTTATGCAAAGAGAATTTTCATCAAATAAAATTGATTATAAAAATTCGTAAAATTTGTGAAAAACAAATTTACTCAAGAAGAGTTAAGAAAAATTTACAAAGAAACAAATGTACTCAAGAAGAATTCAAAAAAATAGAAATTTTTTATAGAATATGACGCCTTTCGTATAATCGTAAACTGAACTCGATTAACAAAATGCAAGAGGAAAGAAAATGCAAATGAGCTAAATCATCTCTCTAAATTATTTTGACGAATTCTTTTACGTTTTTAGCAAGTATGTGAGTTCTAAGCTTTGACTAGCCATTACCAAAGCTAAAACTAAACCAAACCGAGGTTTCTTTTATGCTCACGAAGCCATTAACCTATTCGATCTTATTAGAATTCACTGGTAAACCAAAAAAATGTGTAATGTGTTACATCGCTGAAATTTCTTGTTTTTAATTCTGGAGCTAAAGTTTCCGTGTTTGAATTAAATGATTTAAAATCGCTGGAAGTGGACAAAACAGCCGTGCATACCTACAGAAGATAATCAAAAAACAATTTTGTTGTAATTTCTTCACCTTCTACAAATGAAATAATTGGCATGTGGTAACTAATAAAAACATAAACGTAAACGTAATAAGTGCTTTTAACCGTCGAGAAATCTTGCAAGTGTTCCACTGAATTTAGAGCTCCTTGTCGTTTCTGTAAGATTGTTTGCAATTCTGGGTAATTCTTAAATTCTGGGTAAAATCCACTCATTGTTCTGAGGCAAAATTTCCACTGAAATCCTCACTAATAATTAGTGGGATTTTACTTAATTCAGAATCGAAAAAGCGCTGCACCTTCAACAATTTAATCCAATAAAACGTGACCTGCAAGATAACCATCAGGATAATTCTTCCATTTTCCATGATAATGCTGAGAATCTCGTATTCACCAGTAAGTTGAGGCATTTACGATCAAATGAATTCATAAAAATGAATTTAGCAAACTTATACATATAGGTAGTGAAAATGTTTGTTCTGTCATCAGTATTTGTTATACTCCTCTAGCTAGAAATCAAGCCAATGCGCATCAAGTTCAAAATTATCTTTAAAATTAGGTAAATCCATGTCTTCCTCAATATCCATCCAAGTCTCTCAAAGATGAGAAATATTTGAACATTGTATCCATCATATCCATAAGATCCATAAAACGCCACGACAAGTTTAACAATTTGAAGAGAACATGACAATCCTTTTCTGCTATCCGCCAGGACTCTTCTCCAATTCACTACATTCAATATGAATTAATCTTCTTTTGCTAATGAAATAATTTTATCTATAGAATTCAAAATACTTGGTTACACTCGGTGATATAACCGTTATTCTGTGCAGATAGAGTAGGCCTCTTTAGAGAAAATTATGATTCGATCCAACTCGTTATTTTCCAATATTATACCCTAGCAAACTTTTGAACATAAAAAGTGAAAGGAAGTCTGTTTGGATTACCACAACGCATGACTTAATTCACAAAATTCCAGTCAACTCCGCAGTTTTTTGAAAATGATATTAAAATGACAATGATATCCAAAATTTGAAGAGGTCTGAAGATCAAGAGAGAAAACTGTACAGGGAGTTCTGATTTAGAGAAAACCGTGGGGTCGAACAAAGTGTAGAAAAGGTCACTGTATCGAAGGAAATTTTATTTCAAGTGGTTATTTCCACAATATGATTTCTCTCATTTTCCATCTCAAAATGCTATTTTCGTGGATCACTTGATTTTTTTTGCATTTTCAATTTATTCTAATCCATGATAACCAAAATAAAATCTTATAGGTGAATCAGCCTTAAGTTTTCTGATAGCCTGCGCTTGGTGCAGTCACTTTCAGTGGTTCATTATAAGGCAAATATTTTATCATAGAAATACTACGTATAAAGAACCTTTGCATATTTTCGAATACGGTCCCTTATTCCTGGTGCCATAAGGTGTTAATACTGATACGCTTTTTATTATAGAACCTAAGAATATATTTTAAAAGACAGCTAAATAAACTTTCATTAAATTGGAGCATTTAGCGACTAAGCAATAATTTCAAGGAATAAGTTTTTTATGAGTGCGAATTCGCAAATCTGAAATATTAATCTGGAAATCTGAATAAATTTGAAATTTGAAATGGGTTCTATTTTTGAGACCAATTCGAGATACAATCTAAACTTTCTTGCACCAATCTTCTTATTTAAGGAGCCACTCCCATCATGACGGTAATAAAATTACAATGATCGACATACAATGATGAGGTTCAGTACAATAATACAGCATCTTACGCCAATACTTTAAGAAAAAAAACAATGAACTTATATTGTGGAATAATAGATATGATTTTAAAAAAAAGAACAGGAATTCGACAGGCATTTACATTCATAATTTTTACATATATTCATAATTTTGTATTTATATTTTATACTTTTTTGATTCTTTTTTTGAAAAAGTCGCATTTCACTGACTAGAAGGTTGAAACTCTTTGGCGACTCTTCCAGAAAGTTGTCAGAGTTGCCAGGAGATGAAAATATAGATAAGGGTATTGGTTTAAGTGAAAGGCTTATCCTTACCAAAGAAGATCATGCCTATGACCTTACTTTTTCTTTTAATTTTTTTTACAAACCTTTTCCCTTTTCCCTTGATAATTTCTCAATTATCTCATTAACTGTTCGCATAGGCGTAAACTGTCATTAAAATCAAATCCAACTGGCTGTTGGAGACCCACCTGTATTGTTATATACTGATTGTTCTATGGCGAATGGGTCAAAAAAAATGCAAGCGATGTTTGATCAGTGAAAATGCGTCATCGCAACCAACTTCAAGTTGAAACAATGGAAGACCTATAGGATTTCAACAATCTTAATACCTCTGGAACTGCCAAGGAGTATTGGTTCCAGCTGAGGTCCTGTTTTTAGGAATCAGATGATTTGAAAGAAAGCAAGTTGGGCCTTAACAAAATGAGCCAGCTATCCGATCGTACTGCCAAAGCGCTCACGTCAACAGATGCCAGCTATCAGCAGCTCCGTATACTCACAATTCGCAACGACGCTGGTAAAAAAATCGATACTGGAACTATATAGTTTTGAATTTGGAACTCGGAAGTGGTCAGAAAAACATGATCCAAGATAAGAACAGAAATCCCGCTATCAAAGATCACCTCGACAGAGATTATTTCTTTGAACCTAATTATTGCAGACCATCAAAAATCCTGGACATTACTGGAAGACATTAAAGCCGTACGATTGCAACTAGGAACCACCAATAAAGCACGAAAAATAATCCAATAAAACCCACGAAGACGATGGTCTTTAGGATGAAATTTTCAAACGCTGCTAGCGTCCTTCACATCGCACCTGCAAGGGATTTTATTCAATGACGTAGGAGGATATGACTGAAACAAGACAATTTTATTCTTAATTCCCAAGAAATGAGGACGCATTGCGAACGATTACCAAGAGCCAGCTTGTCAGACGTTTCTGGGAAAATCCATCTATTCCGAATGGATTCATGGTAGTGTGTGTCAAGATGTGCCTTAACCAGAATTTAGACCAGCACGTGACTGTGCTGACCAAATTTCTACGCTGAGAGTATTGGAGAATACTGGAGCACCGTTTCAACCGACAATCTAAATTTACATATGATATTTCACTGCTGCCTTTAATTCGATCAACAAGGCAGCGCTTTGGCAAGTCAAGAAGGACGATGGTGTTTCAGACTTATCAAAGCATTCTATCGGAGCAGGTAACCGCCGTAACCGCTGGCATCTGCGGCTCTATCCCACAATTTTAAATTATGCAATAGGCTCGGTTATGGACATCGCTTGTCGGGACATTCAAGAGGCGCAGAAATTAGCCAAGAATATAATCACGCTGATGATGTCCTCTTCGCTGACAGTTCCCAAGAATCATAATAGACGCGGGCGTACGAAATAGAGAAAATTGGTCTTCAAATCAATATATATATATATATATATGTACCAGAGATAAATTGATCAACGGTCGAAGAAGAGTCGAATTTTAAATATATCGCATCCACTCTCATACCTAAGGATCAGGCGATAGATGAAATTCCAAGACAGTCAAGACAGTCATAGGTGCATTCTTTCGTCTGGAGAAATCTCCCAGGAAATCAATCTGAAAATAAAAGCTCGCATCTGCCTGGGTGTAGTGCCCACAGTCCTAATACACTTCAATACCAGTCCTGGAAGTAACTGAAGCTACTCCTTTTTCCCCGAGTGCATCGGTCACTTATGTATTAAAAGTCTCTCGACCCTATAATTCCAGGTTCTGACTGGTCCTCCACGCTTCCAACACTCTCCATTGCAGAACCGTCTTAATCCCAGTGCAACCGACCAAACCAGCAATGGCAGAGAATTCACCACGTTTAACAGCTGAAAAACTAATATTGTCAAAACCCTTCGGTTCGAGAAAGACTGGAATCGAAATATCAGAGGACGTATCGAGCATATGTCTTGAGTGGAATGTGGTCGAATTTGAGTATATGATTTGACAAAATAGTTGTTGCATATCCTGTTGTTATGTAAAAGTTCTGTGTTAAATCTTTTTGGAACGATGGATTTACGGAAAGTTTTTTGTAACGGTGGAACTGTGGAGGATCCTAACGAGGTTTGTCAGTCGGCTGGCCTATATTTGAGCAAAGCATCACGTCAGGGCTTCGAGGGGGGCCAACTGTCATAAATTGTCATGAATTATGTTCCGCAGTGGTTCTCTAATGAAGGAATAGTCGGTGGAACGGAGCGAACCGGAAATGGTGAATTTCACTAAAAGAAGATTGGTGACATATTTTGTTATATGAGTTATTCTCCTTCTAGCATTAATATCATACCATCATTGTTTTTATTTTCGGGCAAGAGAAGACCATAAAAAAGATGGGAGAACGCGAAAAGGGCAAAAAGGATTAGCACAACTGTGTGGTATTTGGCTGGTAACTTCTGGTATCGAAAAAGCGGGAAGTGATGGTTGGCACATTTCTTCTTTCAATAGCACTCCCCATTACTGGTTTAGCTGTTCGGATTGGCATGCAATTTGTTATTGTTCGTTGTTATTGCCAGAAGTACATTCACGTGGGAGCATGGCGTGCATACCATGCACTAGCCAGACTTAAACGATTTCATTTCTTTTGCAAGTAAATTTATTATTTCGATTTCTTTTGCATTCCTTTGTTCTTTTGTGGTCAAAGTTCAACTGGTTTCGGGAAAATCGGTTTTGTTAATGTTAATTGTTGATAATCGAGTGATAAATAGCCAGTTGAAAATAATTAAAATTTAAAATTTTTAAAAATTAAATCACAGTGGGGTCATCGAAGGAATTTCAAGAAAAATGGTTTCTGATCTTTTATTTAGTTTGTCGTATCAGAATTTTGGAATGATTTAAGGAAAGAAATCATCGATAATTTATTTCCATTGGTGTTTTAATTTATTACACCAATTATTGGTGCTTTTATCGTTGTGTGGCTTTGACAAGAACTTGCTATCCTAAAGTTAAATTAATGAATCTCGACCATGGTGCAGAAGTGAATATTAGGAAAAGAATTGAGACCAATTAACCAATTATTTATGTTTAAATACGCGTTTTTACTTTTTTAAAATATTAAAACTCCAAAATGAAATTAAAATGTTAAAATTGTTGATGGAAAAGTTTTGTTTTGATGTTATTCCTTATTTCAAATAATTTTTCATTTATTTTTTAAACAATCTTATATAATGGTTTTATCATTGCAGCAATGTGGGCGACCGCATAAAAAACGCGGTCTTAAAGATCTTTTAGTGATAAATGATCGTGATAAACAGTTGAACAGCAAACAGTGGAAAAAGTATCGCGAAAATTTATCACTTTGATTTTTCCCAAATTTATTTTTTCCGATTTTATTCCATTTCTCTTTTCTGGCCGTATTGCAACTGTTTTTTGTTCACGGTTCTCACCAGTTTTGACCTCATTGGCTGTTAATAGCAGGCATTTTCGCTAGAGAGTTTTACTTATGGATAGAATTATAGATGGATTCTCAGCATCACTTGGCTTTTTTATCATTGGCTGTTAAAGAATTAATTGAACGCGTTTATGAAGTAAAAATTTTTATTTGCAATTAATCGATTTGCTAAAATGGAACGCGATAATAACGAACGTTAAGAGCGTAGATGATGTTCTCAGAGTTCCTTTTTGATAAAAGTTTCATATGAAAATCCCTTTTAATTAATAAGGAAATTGTTAAGTGAATACTAGAGTTATTATAAATAAAAATAATTGAAATTTATAAAAAATTGAGTGAATTAAAATCTAAATAACGAAAACTTGCCTAAATGGAAACTTCAGGAAAAATTAGACTTAGGTTTTAGAAATTAAATAATTCATTTGGTTAGTCAACATTGATGAAATAGAAGGGATGGCATGGCCAAGTATATGTGGCTTTGACTAAGATCGATTATTATTGATTCGGTTCTTGTTCCTTGGATGGAGGCAAATAGTGATGCTGGGAGTTCACATCTGGTGAAAAACTCATCTTAATAGCTAAAAGAGCCAGCGAAATTGGAAATGCTTAGTAGAAAAAGAAAATATAATTCATTAGGTTATTTTACCACATTATTTTAATATTTATCATACTAATTTCATTAAATAAATCATTTTTTGGCTAAATTTTGCATGCAATTCAGTCATTTTAATAACGATAATCGCTGTTCCGCAAAATGTAAGTTTGTAAATTTAATAATTAAACAATTTTAAATTAACTTTTTTGAATTTTTCAGAAAAAATAAAATCGGGTTATAACTGAATGATGTTCCCAAGTGGTGATGAAGGTGAGTCGTTCATTGAATATGTTTAGAATTTTCATTCGAACAATTTTTCAGTAATGATATCTTATTACTCTAATTTTTTGTTGTTAAGAAGGTAGTGCAGATCGTAGTATGGATTTTGTTGGTCCGCTGCGACCATCAGATAGCTGGTCAACAACAGAAGTACGTTCAGTGAAACATTTACATGTGTGGACGATTCGAGGTTTTTCTCAATGCGAATGCCGCTACCTTGAAACGCATCTTAAGATTAGAGACGTGGTTTCTACTCATTATTATTCATTGAGAAATAAATTTATATTTGAATTGTCCTTTAAACCTTCGCTGTTTATTTGAATTTCGTTGCATAATTTTGATTATTTAATAATTAACGAATTTAGAAATAAATCGCCAAAAAAATGAAGAAATGAAGATATTTTTCAGCCTTTTACGATTGCTGCTTTGGAAGGAAGTTTTCTAACATTTCGTATTAGAGTTCATCCTCAAGGAAACAAAGAATCGAATAAAGATTTTAGCTTTTTTCAAGTGAATTTTTGATTAAATCAATCATATTTCATTATTGATCTACGAACTTTTATTTATTTTCATATTAAATTTAATTTGTTTCATTTTCCAAAAATAATAAAGCCATTTTTTTCCTTCAGGAAAATGATTGATCCAAAACAAAAGAAGCTTCATGGATATTTTGATGACAAAATGATCATATTTTATAAACTATGTAGAGATATAACTTGTATAATATATGATTATATATGATTGAATGATCATTTCTGATAACTGCCTATACTTTTAATGATTTTAGGTGTTTTGCAATTTATCAACAATGAAATATCGGGCGAAATTTTCAGTTTTTAATGCAAAAAATGAAGAGGCAACGACAACGGTTTACACTGGTACTCAACAGGTTAATTTGTTAAAATTATAAAATCTTGATAACTTATTAAAATTATAGAACTTCAGTTCAATATTTCATTAAAAATAATCATTAATTCGCAAATCTTTTCAGCTTCATGGATATTTTGAGTACATTCGTCGTGATGTGCTTGTCAATCATATTCAACCGCAAGATGAATTGCAACTTGTTCTGAATTTAAACATTACTTTTGACACAGTTACAAAATCAAGTGATAATGTGCGCCCTTCTGGCTTGCCGGAGCCAAAATATGATGAGGTCTTTTTTTTCATGTGATTTATAAGTTATGTTTTTATGTAGCAGTAACACAGATTTAAATGTTCCATGCATAAAGAATAATTATGGTGTAGAATAAAAATGAGTTCATTATGAATCTTTTTGGAAAATAAGTAACAAATTTTGAATACAATTGAAATCTGTATTCATAGTTGGTGATTTATTTGGTTATTATCAAATGATATTATATATATATATATATATTGTTTTCCAAAAGTTTAAAGCATAATGTAATTCGACACAACGATAAAACAATAGAACAAAAATTCTTTTAATAAAATGCACTACAAATCACTTAATTGTATGATTGAATTTTGAATTTTTGAATCTTTGTAGTTTTTTCTTGAAAAATTTATTTGAAAAAGTCATTTATATATTTTTTTGTGGAATTTTAGATCGCTTACGATTGGGAAGCTATGTATAAAAGTGGTCGTTTGGCCGACTTCACTGTCATTGTTGGTGAACATCGTATTCAAGTTCACAAGGCTTTATTGTCCGCTCGATCTCCTGTTTTTAGTGCGATGCTAGAACCGCATACCGAAGAATATAGAAAAAACAGTGTAAAATTGTATGATATCGATTATGAGGTTTGTTTTTTATTTTTAACAGCAAATTCAACAGTAATAAATGATACTCACATTTCACCTTTTAGTTGTATGGTTTTTTTAGGTTTTGCAAGAAATGTTATTATATATGTACACTGGACGTTCGCCCAACATTAGTCGCATGGCTCTAGAATTACTTTCCGCTGCTGATCGTTTCCAATTGTCGGGATTGAAGGACATGGCCGATCAGGTTTAAAATATTTTTGCAAGTAACAAATAATCAGCTTTTTCTTCCATTTTTAGAATTAATTTTTACATTATCATTTTTTTTATTATCAGCAGACAAATAAGCATGTATTTTTTGAAGGTTTTGAGATCGACATTATCTATTGAATCGGCCTGTCGTTCACTTATTTATGCTGATATGTATAATTCACATGATCTTAAACTTGAAACAATTAGATTTATCGCACAGAATTCCACTTCCATCATAAAAGTACTGTTTAGATTTTTTTAAAAGGGTTTTGCTTTTCCATAAAATTTTCTAATTCTTATTAATTTTTAATTCAATTTTTATTTAAATCATTAAGTAAATTTTTATTTTGCTCCATCGATTACTGAAAAATAAATATAATAGATCTCGCTTATTTTGGTAATTTGAGCGCGAGATTGAAAATATTTCGCTTGAATAAAATGGTTTTTCATAATTCAGAAATTTATGTTAAAAATTTTCATTTATTTATTATGATGGAAACTAATAAAACCTTTGTTTTAGACGGAAGGATGGATAGAGATGGTGAGAAATCATCCAAATTTGGTTACTGAAGTAGTATCATCTATAGGATCAATGGAACCTCGATTTATTGCTGCAGAACCAGCAGGTGTAAAATTTATTAATAATTTTTTAATTTTAATAATTTTATAATAATTTTATTAATAATTTTTTTAAATAATTCTTAGTAATTATACGATATTCAATGGGTACTTCTTATTTGTTTTAGAGCCACCAATGAAACGCGGTCGTGCAAATACTTAATTGTTTTTTTAAAATCATTTGTTATTCTGTTGTTCTAAATTACGTTCATATTTCTCGCATATTTAGGTACCAAACTTTATAAAAGGCGATAAATTTAGGTTTTTTTTCTTCCGCTAACAGGAATTTCATTGATAACCATATTTTTTAAAGTTTATTTTAAATATGGTCTAATCAATAATATTTGAATTAATTTCAAATTTGGTGCAAATTTCAAATATATGTTTCATTTGATTACCATTTTTTGGATCGCCGAAGTTTTGCATTTGCATTATAAATGTTTTATGATAGGTTTTACACTGGTTATGAATAATCTAGTAAATATTAGCCTCATGCGGTTGGAGTATTCTAATATTCTAATGTACACAGAAAATTTTGCATTATTATTATTATATATATATATATATTTATAACACGTCTACAACATATATGTTATAAATTTATGTATATGTACATACATATATTTATGACATATAAATTTCATGTTACTTTATTATACGGGAATTATTTTTCTTTTGAGAATTTTTCATTCATTTTTTTTTGTATATTTTATTCATATTGCTATGTATTTATTCATATTTTATTTTTTATTTTATTGAAAATCACATAAGAGAGCCAATATTATTTCGTATCTCATTAAATGATTGAATATTATTTTTTGTTATTTGCAATGTTTCTAAATTACTAATTTAATTTGGTTATATATTTTGTTTTTTCTGTCATTTGGTAAATAGAAATTGTATTTATATTAGCTTTGAATAAAAGGTTTCAACCTTTTCAATTTTATTGCATTTTAACTGATTTAGGTTCTGTGTTAACCATACATTTTCAGTTTGAAAGAAATTTAATTGGAAAAAAACAGGAGAATGGCTAATTTGAATAGAAAATTCGCTCCCATAGTAATTTAGCGATCGTGGAAGTTAATAGATCTGAATTGGTCGAGTGTAGTTCAGTTTAAATTTAAATTCAGTTTTAAAATTTTTGTGATGCATCATTCTTCCCAAATTTTTAAGGCAAAGAAGGATTTCAACTTCTAGTATTCAGTAATGGTTGTACTTCAAGCGGTTAATTTTATGAATTTATTAAGGAGCAGCAAAAGGTACTTTTGATTTTTAATCCCAGTTTTTCATTCTTGGCTCTCTTAGAATGTGCTTCTCCTTGTTTTTTATTTCATTGTTTCAAGGATTGTTGTGACGAATTTCTTGAGTTCATTTCTTTTTTCGGTTTCTAAAAAATTCGAGTTCATTACTTTCTATTTCATAATTTAGTGTTAATGAATAAAAGAATTATGTTAGGAAATGTTTGAAATGGTTCTTCTAAAAAGTTGGACTGCTCCATAAGGATTAAGTTTTTTAAGGTTTAATTTATAGATTGTTATTAACCCGTTTCTTCGCAAAAGAAGCTATCGATTCTCAGGAAAAAATTTCAGTAAAATCGAGATGCAAGGTTTTTTTAATGGTTTTCTACTTTTTTCCTCTTTTTGGGTCTCATTATGCCTTTCTTATTAATAATGGGTGTGGTTTTGAGGGATTTTACTATTTTCTCTTTTGTTTATTTTCTTAACGAAAGAAAAGAAACTGGGTTTTATTGTCAAAAAATGTAACTTTCATTCAATTCTGAAAATATTCTTCTGATCATTTTGATTGTTGAAAAGTGGCTGTAGAATTGTTCAGCTCATAATTGTTATAATTTAAGGAAACGGCATCTTTTGTGATGAATATGTTCACGGGTGAAATCAGTCTACGTGATGTTTTCCCATATCCGTTGGACCTTAGCGCTGAACGTAAAGAGATGACACATGTTTTTTTGCAGTCAGTGGAAAAATTTATGTCTGAAGTCAATAATCCAACTAAGTTTGTTAATTTGCCAAATTATTCGTAGCAAATATAGATTTATCACTGAAATATGTTCAATTAAAGAATTGATTTTTGATATTTTCTCATTGGTTTAAGGAATGATGATGAAGCAAATATTCCAAAGGAAGTTTTGTCGCAGTTTGCTGAGTTGGGGTCATTTGGAGCTCTAGTTCCTGAGAAATATGAGGGCGCTGGTTTGAATAATACACAAATGGCACGACTTGCTGAGGCTGTTGGTGCAAGAGATCTCGCCTTAGCTGTCGTAATGGGTGCACATCAGGTAATGTTGGTGGCATCGCAAATCTTGCCATAAGTTAAATTATTTACTATCGAAATTGTGGTTTGGACATGTGTACTAAAAATTCCTCACATATTGGACTGAAAAAATATTCTATATGTCTCATTGCGGAAAATATTCTAGTTTGTTTCCATTATTGATGTGTTTTTCATTATTTTTAGTGTAAATTTTAGTCTATCGGCTATAAAGGCATATTGCTTTACGGAACGGAGGAACAAAAGCTAAAATATTTACCAGATTTAGCAACGGCTCGGAAATTTGCTGCTTTTTGCCTCACCGAAGCTGAAGCTGGGTCAGATGCCAAAGTTATTTTTCCATATTTACCCTTCATAAACATCTAAACTTATAGATTAATTTTTTAATCAATTTTTTTTACAAATTAATTAATTAATTTGATTTTTTTACAAATTAATTTTTTCCTTTAAATTCTTTTACTTCCAGTCAATCCGTACTCGCGCGGAAAAAACAGCTGATAATAGGCATTATGTTATTAATGGTAGTAAACTATGGATAAGTAACGGATCGTTTGCAGATATATTCACTGTTTTCGCCCAGGTGTTTTTATTTTCTTCAAATTTTTTATTTTATTTTGTTTGTTTCTTATAATGATTTTTATTTAATATCTTATAATCCTATTAAAATTTGAATTTAAAGTTGAATTTATTAAAAAGAAAAAGCTTTAAAAAAGCAGTGCTTCAATTTCAATTTTCATTTCCAATTTCTTATCACAATGCTGGGTGATTAAAGACACCAGTGAAGGGCGATGACGGTATCATAAAAGATAAAGTCTCGGCATTCATCGTTGAACGAACATTTGGTGGAGTGATAAGTGGTGTGCCTGAAAAAAAAATGGGTATCAAAGGATCAAATACTACGGAAGTCCTTTTTCAAAACACAAAAGTTCCAGTGGAAAATCGTTTGGGTGGTTCGTAGGTTTTTTTGTTTAGTTTTCGGTCAATTTTGAGGAAGCAATTTTTTTAGGTCAATTTTCCAATTTCAACATTTAGTTCGATTTGATGACTTATATGTTGCATCAAGCTTAAATTAAAATATGAATGTTTGCGAACTGAAAATTATAGAGGAGGGCGATGGATTTAAAATTGCTATGAATATTCTTAATAACGGCAGATTTGGCATTCCTGCCGCTTGTACTGGTGCAATGAAGTATTGCATTCAAAAAACGGTTTTATTTTTTGTTCTTTTATACTAAATGGTTATAGAAATTAATGGTTATAGAAATGGTTATAGAAATTATATAATTGGCGTTGTTGATCATTTTACATCCTTTAAATATTTCATAAAAAATTTTCTAGGGTTCAGTAGGACTAGAGTTGATTTTCATTTCAGATCGATCACATTTCTGAGCGATCTCAATTCAATCGAAAGCTCAAAGAATTCGGAAACGTACAAGAACAATTTACTGATATGGTTGTATGTCACTATGCAGCAGAGGTACATACACTGGTTATTTTATAATATTTAGAATTTTTTAATGCTATTTAATCAATAGCTTTAAGTCTTTTTCTTTATAGAGCCTCACTTATATGTTGTCATCAGTTATGGACAGAGGTGTGCAGGATTACCAATTAGAGGCTGCAATCGGAAAAATTATGGCATCGGTTCGCATGTTTAATATTTTTAAAACACAGTTTTGACCCAGTTGTATATGTCAAAAATTTTTTATTTTTGGTTGATTTTTTTTGCCAAGATATATATAATTCAAATAATTAAGTAATCATTTAATACGAATATTGCAGGAAAACGCATGGCGTGTTTGTGATCGTGCTATTCAACTTCATGGGGGAATGGGTTTCATGAAAGAATGCGGTTTGGAAAGAATACTTCGAGATTTGCGCATATTTAGAATATTTGAAGGTGCTAATGATGTGCTTCGCTTATTCATTGCATTAAGTGGAATACAAGTTCGTATTCATTGCATGTGCTTAATGTTGCCATGAAGTTTTTGTTTTATTGTTTTTTTTTAGTTTTTCAGCCTATGTATGAAAGAGTGAAAAATTATTATTTATTAATTATTCTTATTATTATTATTTATTATTAATTATTCTTTGGTTTATTTCATGACGATTTGTTGCTGAATGTTGATGTTTTCAGCATGCCGGTAGATATTTCGAGGAAATATTTTTTAAGGATCCGTCATATATGACACGATTAACAAATATAGCTCGTCACACTATATTTCCCAAGTATGTTTTCTTACTACGATTAATCGCCAAGCAATATCTCAAAATGCCCATTTCAAGTGCTTATTTTATTTCTGACGTAGATTATGAACATGGTCTTTTCAATGCTTTATTCCATTTACATTTATCATTCTTTTACTGCATTTTTCAGAACTTTTATTGTGGATTTGAGAAATATAGTGCACCCATCGCTCATCGGTAGTGCAAAGTTATTGAATGACTTATTAATCGAATTCATCAAAACAATTAAAAATCTTCTAATGAAACATAAGAGAACAATCGTAGGTAATGTGATAGTCTAGCAATTTTATGGTTTTTTTTAATCTGTTTAGTACTGTTGTACTGTTTCTTCATAGCAAATCAATTTAGATCGGCAATATGAATTAATTCGTGTTGCAAACGCAGCCATTGAACTTTATAGTATGGTTGCCGTGCTTTCAAGGTGCACAAGAACATCCAATTCGATGGCTTCTTCTGTTCAGGAGCAAGAAATTGCTAATCTTTTCTGTAAACAAGTAATTTTTCTGATATCAAATTATATTAATGAAATATACCTTCTTTAATACCATTATTTTTATTTTGGAATAAAAAAAATTTTTGTTTGGCGAGCGGTCGTTTTAAGAAATTATTCTCGATTTATTTTGTTTTACTTGAAAATTATTTCTGATAACAATTCAGCTAAGTTCTCTTGAACTTTTAATTTTTTTTTACCAAACAACGATTAAAATTAAAATAAAATAAATTAAAATTAAATCAATTAAATTAAATCGAATCAATTAAATTATAATTAAATAATATATATGTATATATATTTCATTTATATAATATATATTTTTTAAAATTTCATTGTCCATTTTATTATTTTCTTCAAATTTAATTTTTTTTGTCTTTGGTGTCAAAAATCCGGATGGCTGCTGGGAACACACCTGTAATTCTATCCCAAGTAACTCTATGGTGAAAGGGTCAGATACACTTGATACGGCGTCCGCGTCTCCCAACGCGCATGATACTCCGAGCTCGGTACATTCGATAAGTACAATCCGAGCTTAAAGGATGGTAAATAAAATGTTTAAGGATGGTAAATAAATGCTCTCAAGCCAGGGTAATTGCTCGATACCTATCAAAAAGGAGAACAGCCTTCTGCACGCGCGGCGAGGTATTAGCCGTATCAGCGTGGAACGTTAGAACGCTTATTGACGTTGCAAGCCAAGCGATCACTGTCCACACCCTGTCTAAGTATCGTGTGGATATCGCTTGCTTGTTAGAGGTCCGTCTTCCTCATTTTGAGTCTCGAGAAATTATTAATCCTAGTTCAGAGCAGTGATACTGGTTATATCACTGTGGTGCTTCGAATAACTCAGGACGAAATGACGTAGCGATTGTCATGTCTGACAAGGCCCATTCCGCTTTGATTGAGTGGAAACCGGTAAACGACTGTATGGCCTATGCCCGTTTTAAGGATAAGTTCTGCAATATCTCGGTCATCAGTGTCTATGCTCCAATGCTGTCGGCAGATGACCGTGATAAAGACAAGTTCTATGCGGAACTTCAACTGCTAACGAAGTCTCTACCGAAACATGATATAATCATAATCGGGGAAGACTGGAATGCTCGCATAATGAAGCAAAGTCATAATGCAGCTGCGATGACCTCAGCAATTGGCAAATATGGCATCGGAGACCAGTGTGCCAATGGAGAACGTCTTCTTCGTTATGCCGAAAAGCATGAACTTTTTGTTATTAATACTAATTATTAATCTAATTGCTTGCGGCATCATAGAAAACAGTCCTGTGGAATTCCCCGAACAACCAACACTTCAATCAGACTGATTATATTTTTGTCAGTCGCCGTTGGAAGAGTTCTGTACTGGATAGTCATTCCTATCGCGAAACTGAAACGGGCAATCTTTATGGATCAGAATATGTTATGGTTCGAACCATGATCCGCATAAAATTGACAACTCGCAGAAAACACCATCCCCCAAGTTCCTTCAACTATCTCAAACTATCTAAAGAATTCGGGAATAGCAAGCGAATTATTGAAGACCGAATTATTGAAGCATTTTAATGGTACAAATATTAATGACTCTTCTGGAAT